AACCACTATGGGATTAGCCAGGTCACTGTTAATGGAAAGATTTGGGTGTTGATCCTCCTCAACGCCGGCACACAACTACCGCAGTTTCTTCTTGGTTTGAACTCATCAGGTGGAGATAACCTGAGCTGGGGTGGAACTCAGAGCCTAGTAGTTCACGGCTGACGCCCTGAACACTATACTTCTGAGATCTGCGCGCAACTCTTGGAATAGCGAAAAGCAATTCAAAGTTGACCGAGGTTTACCTCAAAGTGAACCGATGTCTTAACAGAGGTTGCGAGTCGCAACGCAACAAAACAGTGTGTTCCATAAATTCAACTTTGAAGGTCACTGTTAACTTATTTTTCAGCCAATTTATCTGTCCTGGCGAATCACTGACAACAGCGTGGAAGAAGTACTGAAAGTCAGACTGACTTCTGCCTCGGCACACAGTCACGCATTCGTGCCAGGCCAGAAGCGTTAACGGCCTAAGGGTAGAAGTAGCTCACTCCTCGGATCCTTCTTCTCTACTTGTTGGTGCTTGTTTTTATGGGTGACTGTTAGGGGAAAGCCCAATGGAGTAGTTCTATGCTATGCCGTAGTCTTTTTGCTGTGACTTCAGTGTTGGTGTCATTATCTACGAGTATCCATGTATTGAGTTCGATCAAGTAAATGAAGCTTTCATGCTTATCCTATTTCGCTACTTCCGATCAACTTCGTGGGCCTAATGTTTATGGACGATCCTCTCTTGCCCGCTTCTAATATTTTCTTCAGTAGTTCGGCTCAGAGATTAGTTATTATTCACATATTGCGCAGTTCAGTTCAATGAACAATGAACAATGATTTATCACGGGATAAAAGCAAGTGCTTGACACGTCCCGTAGGATGGTAGCGGTGAATATGAGGCAATTAAAATATGTCTGGGTCATCTATCGAACGTCTGCCGAGATGAATACTTTGATAATTAACATCAGTGTGAAATGAAAAAGAAATATCGCGCGTAAACATTCAGAAAGACAATGGGGTGCAGTGATCATTGAGGTAAGGAGTGAGAAAATAAAATATGGTCGCTCACTTAGGTCCATTTGATACATTAGTCCTGTTGAAAACATGCTTGGCGTAATCCACAACAGAGGAGCTTAGGTAACAAAATGTTGGGAGCTGAGAGCAACATCTAATCGTTTTTTGAAAACATCCAGGGTAGGAGAGGATACAACTGAGTCTGGGAGTGCGTTCCAAGGTTTGCAAACCCGAAGGGAAAAGTAATCCCGTCGACACTCTAGACGGCTATATTGTTCCTTCAACTTTAAGCAGTTACCCCTGAGCTGCGTGTTGTGGATAAGTTTCAGCAAATGGCGGCATACATGGTTGGGATCACTCAATATCTGATACGCTAATATGAGATCGCCGCGCAGCCTTCGATAACGTTCGCTGAAAATTCCCAGCAACTTCAGCCTTCGGTGGTAAGAGTGATAGCGCAGGCCCTTCACGTTCTTTGTTGCTCTCCGTTGTGGTGCCTCTATCGCTTCTAGGTCGCGTTTCAACCAAGATTGCCAAGCTTGGATTGCGTACTCAACATGCGGGCGCACGTAGGAATTGAGCATAATTGGGAAGATTGATGGGTCAAATCTCCCGAATGCCCTTCGCAGCATGCCGACGTGCTGGTTGACTCCTTTCGCAGCTGCCTCAACCTGTTTTAAACAGTTGAGGTCGCTCTGTACGATCACACCAAGATCACGTTCCTGGGAGGTATTCTGCAATTCCTTTGTCCCAAGTATGTAGGTGTAGTTATGTCTATGGCGTAATTGTACTACGCGACATTTGTCTACGTTGAACGGTAGAGCATTATGAACTGACCAGTTCGACACTGTGTTAAGATCGTGCTGGAGCCGTTCATGGTCATCCGGTCCTCTGATCCTTCGCCATATCTTGATATCATCAGCGAAAAATAAGAAATCAGAAGTAATTGATCTCGCCAAATCGTTACTGAACACAAAGAATAGACGAGGTCCAAGAACCGAGCCTTGTGGTACTCCACATGTCACGTCGATTGTATGCGAAAATAATTCTCGGACTCTCACCACTAGCCGTCGTTCTTGTAGAAAATTGTTAATCCAACTCAGGATTGGATTGCCAATGCCGTAGTTCCGAAGCTTCTGCAGGAGAACTCGATGGTCTAAACGATCAAACGCTTTTGAAAAGTCCAGGTAGATGACATCGACTCCAACCCCATCATCAACAGCTTCAGTCCAGCTATTACGTGCAATTAATAGGTTAGTATTACACGAATGCTTTTGACGAAAGCCATGTTGCTCTGGGGCGATTAAATTGTGGCTTTCCAAATATTGCATCAGCGCGTCTGCGACGATTGATTCCATCACTTTGGATAGTACGGGAAGTAGTGTTTTTGGACGGTAGTTTGCAGGATCAGTGCGGCTACCTCCTTTATGAATAGGAGTGATGACCCCTTGCTTCCATACTGGTGGAATAAGGTTTTCCGCTAGACATCGCTGATAGAAAACAGCCAGTGGTCCTGCTAGATCACTAACTACTGCCTGGAGAGCCTTTGGTCGGATGTTATCAGCTCCGGGAGAACTGTGGATACGCAAGGATAACAACTTCTTCAACACAGCCTCCGTAGTGAAGGTGATGTTTTCTAAACCAGATGGTGGAGTATTAGAAATGAGGTGAATGTTTAGGCTCGACACTTGTTGGAACGTTTGAGAGTAATGAAGCCGTAGGAGATCAGCTGCTTCCATTGCTGACCGCGTGCACCCATCAGCCGTGACTAGCGCCGGAACCTCTCGCTTTACCTTTCGAAGGCCGTTAACGTGTACAGGAGTTTGTGGTTAGTGCAGAATCGCTTCATTAACTTCTGCTGATGCGTGACCTTGTCTTCGCGGATCAGCTTCACACAGAAGTTACGATGTGTCACGTATGCAGTCCAGGTTTCGGCATTCGGGCAACCCTGGTGATTTCGCCAAGCCAAATCCCTCCGGGACATACATTTACGTGTTCTGCTCCTCAGAAATGACTTACTCTGGTATTTGGGTTGGAAGGACTTCTGTTCCGATGCTTGCGCTACCAGTGTGCTCAAAGTCCTTGTAAACATATCCCAGGCCAGATCTGGGGGGCATTCGATTAAGAAAGTCCAAGATGTATCCTTAACAAGCTTGGACAACACATTGTAGTGCGTGACAGTGTGCACTTTATCCTCCTCCTTTTCCGGGTACTCGGCATAGCATATATAATCAAAGAGTAGGGTGACATGATCACTACGACCCAGTGGTGTGCTTGTAACTATCCCGCCAACCATGAGTTCTTCGTTAGTTAGCACAAGATCCAGTATCGACGGCTTGTTAGAAGTTCGAAATCTGGTGGGAGAGGTTGCATCGAGGTTGCACCAAGCTGGAACGCAAGTAACGCGTCCCATTTCAGAGTGCAAAGCACCACCTAAGGTCCGGGACGACATACCGCCATTCCCACAGTCGTCGGATAGTCGTTAGACGATGTCAATTGGTATGCCGCTGACGCTAATGTCCGTCAAGCACCCTTTGGAAGCAGGCTACTTGGAACTGCATTGAACAACCTATAAGGTTTCACCTACCTACGACCGATGAGGCATGTTTTGTCAATTGCTGTAGACTAGTTGCCTTAGGGTGTGCTGTGTGACGCCATTGCGCCCAATGTTATGAAACCGCAGTATCTATGGAATGGTAAGAAAACCCGCAGAAAACCATTACAACCTATTCGGTAAGATGAGTGCGATCCCTCTGAATGCCACATTTAGGATAAACTGCAAATATATCAGTGGCATTGATGCAATAGTTCCGTTGCATTCGTTCGTATGTTGTTGTATCATCTAGTCGAGGATTAGTTTAAGGTCTTTTTCTGCTACAAACTACACGTAATTTGTTTTCCCCACTTGTTACACCTTGGCCAATCCCTAGTCTCGTCAACAGAGGTATTGTATCGGTCAGGTAACAAGCTCGAAATTGCGACCCAACACGTTGTGGTGACATCGTACCAGCCTGCCAGCAGAATGACAGATAAGTTTCTGATTCCAATAGAGTTTCTGGTGTATAATGGTCCTTAGCCGTCATTCAGGGTGAAGCTAGCGGGTTAGTGTGCTAATTGTTCATCGGATTAGCAGGATCCTCAAATTTGTGTTTTACCGGACGATTTTCCGGGATTCGTGTATAAGGGTTAAAGTGCTATCTTCATTTGCACTTTCTAAATGCAGCGAATATGATTATTAGATTATATGCAGTTATATGCAGGTTGTCAGCCGTTCACATGTCAAATACTTCCCTTCTGACCAGTGTTCATTCACCGCAATGGAGTGCTTAGTTGCTTCCACACATGAGATTGTCTTTTCTCCTATTAACATGGAGATTGTACATGATACAAATGGTAATCCCATTAAACAACAAAATTATTACTCGAGAGTTTATCGCCGTAGTTTCGAAATCAGATTGTCTTCCACATGGCAAAATGTCACCATATATGTTAGGATACCAGACATTACACGCTTACTTTCATTCGAGGTTCCTATTTGAATTCCGCGCCGTAGACTGGTAAAACACTACCACGCCTTGTAGGTATAGTGGTATGCAATTGGGACACGTCGGGTGCTGACGGCCAACGTACCTAAATGATCAGTCGTGATATAATGCAGCGCACCCTACAGCGTCTTACACATCAACCTCCACGCGGTTAATGGACTTGCTGTACGGTTAGCAGACTTTGTATGTGTGTCTTTACTAAGCATGAATATTATAAGCAGTCTGGGAAGCGTCGAGTTTACAATATAGCAGTTTGGAGTCCACGTGATTTAAAGCATGGTTATCGAAAGCGGACTAAGTTGGAAAGCAGTCATTGTCGGACAAATCGCTGAACGGACATTTTTCTCAAAATCCAGAATAACTACCATGGCTGATGATTATGACAATCGAACCTTAGCTTATTGATAGACATGTTAAACATATCACCTAAAGTGTTTACTCGCTATCTTGAACACTCACCGAGTAACGTGTGCTTCCAAGCGTTGATGCGATACGAAGACAATATTTCACATATTTCGCCCAATGATACATCTTCTGGAAACGGTTTAATGTTATCGACTTGGAACTCCGGAGTTGCGCGGGAGAACTGATGTTAGATGAAATGGTATTCAACAATTATGGACGCAATTCCGTTACATTACAACATAAGGTGGAGAAAGGATATTTCGAAAAGTGCATGGTCTGGTTCAGTGCAAGTTCACTTATAACTCCGAATGCCAAGTGGACGTTTAGTGGCAATGTTCTCACATCGTGTCACTGGTGTTAAGTTACCGATTGAACAGAAAGCTGTAGATGAGATGTAGTTACGTGAAAGTAGTTCCATAACACTTATCAAACACATGGATCTTCTCCTAACGTCGTCTGAAAACCCCCTTGGGTTGTGTATACTCACTGTGTCGCTGGGTTCGGACTGCTCTCCGTAATCGTGCATATCTCTGTCGGCCACCGATGACTCTTGCACCGGTGATGTCTCCGTGCTTGCGAGAGACGCGGCACCCAAATCGCGATGCACTTGGTCCAGTTTCCATCGTAATTCCTGTGTAACGTTGTATGAAAATCGGTCAGACATAGACGGGTGTGCGCAGATATGAACATAGCGAAATACATAGCGGCAGAAAACAATTGATCATACTGTGTTTAATCCAGTGATAAATACTGACATTTTATGTGACAGACACAGTGGTCACCGAGCACTTATCCGGAAGCAAACAGTTCAAGTTAGTTTGGTATGCGCACTGAGTAACTATACCTTATAGAATCTCGCTTAGCAGATCCAGGTTATCGGGAAAACCTGTAGCAGCTCCGACGGTTCCCCCGTTTTCTTGAGGTCTGGTGGCATGATTATTCCAAAATATTCACTACTATCGTATACGAAGGAAAGCTGAATTATCAGTCTTTGTTCGAACGTGTGTGACTGAATAGCTCGGCACATGTTCGTGACGTTCTCGACTTCGAATCGCGCTAGCCTTTTCCTGCGTTGGTACCAAATTGAATAGGATCCCATAGCTAGCCAGGTGTTTCGGTATCAGCATAAGCGTAGTTTATGCACCCTGTATGCAGTCTATCTAAATGTACTGTTTTAACGCCTAGGATAGGTGGTTATTATTTACCGGAAGAGTTGTGTTGCTTAGTTAATTACGTGACGCACTATAAAAGTAACCCCCATCTTCGTCACTAAGGGCCGTCTGCTGAACAAGGAAGAGTTGACTAAAACGGAGGCATAGATACTGCCACAAAACCTTGTCATGCGGCTGCCCCAATGTCATTGAAACAGTAAAAGTTGGCAACCATAAGCCGGTTAAAGGCGTACCAATCGGCAGTTTGTAAGTGGAAACAACAGAAGGCCTTTCAATCACTGTTCCATAAAAGACCTTCGGTGTATGTTTGCCGAATAAAGCAGTTCATGTGATTGTGGCATTGCTTCAGTTATCGTATCTGCTAATTGACACTTCACCAACTGCCAACGTTGAACAGTGAAATTTTACGTATACCCGCAAGAAATCCCGCCCACCAACATATATGAGTCCATGTATCCCTACTGGTTAGAACTAACCGAATTTAGGCCGGACACAGTTTTGAAACTTCTACTTGAACTGAATCCGAACTACTCCGTTAGCCCTGGCGGACTGCATACCATGTGGCTGAATACGTTGCTTCATTCATCTGCCAAGGCTTTCAGCTATCTTTCAAGGCTGGTCGTTTAACCATCCATTGGAAAACTGGTACGTAATCCCCAAGCACAGATGGGGAAGCCGCCAGGGCCCTCTGAACGATCACTTGATTTGTTTGACTTCCATCGTACGTAAAGGCATGGGAAAATCACCGAACGCGATCTACAGAAGTACTGTGCTGAAAGTAGCATCACTTCTTCTACCCAACATGGTTTCCAGAAGGGACATTCCTGCTCTACCAACTCGCTGGTAGGGAGAGAAAAGTGAGCAAAGTCAAATGATTCCGGACAATGCACAGATGTTGTCTATGTTGATTTTTGCAAAGCGTTCAATAAAGTCCCAGACACCATGGACTACTCTGGAGGTTTATAGAGATCGGCATTAGTGGCAGCCTTCGCCCGTGGATTTCCGACTTCCTGGAAGGTATTGCCATGCAAGTGAGGGTGAACGAAATGCCATCCAAGCCAGTGCTAATGACCAGCGGTGTTAAATGGGGATCTTCCGTTGGACATGAATTGTTCAAGCTCTATACCATAACCTTTCTGCGACACTCCAAACCAAATGCTTGATCTGTGCCGACAACCTGAAGCTGTGATTTGAAGCGTCTGTCTTGATGTAGCGGATCGATTACAAGCGACCCTTGGTCTGTTGTACGACTGGTCCATCAACTGGGGCTTAATAATAAACCATGAGAAATGCCGCACCCTGCCGATTGGGGCTTTTGAGCCACTGCGAACTCACCACATTGGTGGGCTGCTTCTAATACACGCCGCTCAGGAAAAACGTCTAGGTGTAATAGTTGCACCTGAGCGTAAAATCACAAAAGATACACTGAGAAGTGCCACCGCTGCAAACCGGAGGTGCTGTGCTATAAGAAGATCATTCTCTTGAATGACACCGCAGAGATCTCCAGGCTCCAGCTCACTTCTTATGTGCAACCAATTATAGTGCATGGTCTGCCAGCAGCATTCCCGCTCTCTAAGCATGGATGTGACCTAATGAAAAAGGTCCAGAGACGTGGAGCTAAGTTCCCTTTCGGTCTTCCTGATCATCTCTACTCCCTCCGGCTTCATGAGATGAATCTGTTCTCGATGGAATACAGTCGTTGTTGCGGGGACCTAATCTTTAGGGAGCGATATTAAGAAGAAAACGAGATACAACTGCTCTTCCGACTCAATATAAGTGGCTCGACAGGAAGTCACAACTGGGAGCTATTCAAACTGAAGAGTCTTGACGTTTTATCCACTTGGGTAGTGAATGGCTGGAACCGTCTACCGAAGACTGTTGTTGAAGCGCCAACCGAGGAAGGATTTAACGCCTTTGGAACACCTACCTAAGTAAGACACCAGGACTGTCCTATGTTACTGCAACTGAGAACTACCGGGTCGCGAGGACGTACGTGTTCCTAGTGCTGAACTGGAGGTGAAGGGCCAGGATAGGACGTCTCTACTGCTCTCTACAAGTCAAGAAACTCAATGAACAGTAACTGAGGGAATCCAGTGATTCAGCTAGTTGGTAATATCTTCTGACACTACCAGCTGTAAAAAGGATCGCCACCCTAGGGATATATCCGGATTAAAGAACCTGTACAATTTCACAACCAGATCGGGCAGCGGATTTTGTGATGTTACCGACCCTACGTTACGTATTTCAGAATAACAGGACCCAATTTTAATAAACTTCAGGAATGGTTATAGTTGTTTTGTAGTCAAGTTAAAAATAACAATCTGTTGTATCTCTCGTGAAAAATTAGAAAAACATTGGCTGTAGTAGTAGTAGTATTCCTTAAAACGGGATCTCTGAAGCCCGCACTTTTTAGCCAAATGACCGTTGCCTTGCGGATAGGTTTCCGAAACAAGGATTTTGTTTGTAAAACCCTAGTTTTCCTCCTGTGTAGGTTTTAGTAATAAAATGAAACGATCTTATAACGATTCCTTTGTGTTCTCGCCGTGGCTGAGTACGATCAACGGTTCCCTATTTGCTTCACCAGACGGTCCCAGAAGTGTAAGACCATTGTTTGGTTCGGCGGGGCTGTGCACTACCAGGCGCATCCCCAGGTTGAGGATCGAGGAATGCCCACTTTGTGGAAGTAACTGTGCATAAGTTTCGCCTGTTAGCAATTGAAATGAATAAGCTGTCGCGGACAATCAGCCTGGCTACCTGGTTTTTCATTAAATACCATCAGAGCTCATACGGGCCTTGTGTCATAGCCAGTGTGACGGGCTATGGGGTCACAATCGACTCACCTCTGCAACCAAAATTCAACTACACATGAACGGTGGATGAACCGTCACGATGGCAGCCGGCTTCTATGTGAACTAAAAACTATGAAGGCGTATGAGTCAACTAGATATCAGGAGGCTTCGTGCCTGGTAGTGAGATTGGTTGTCCAGATAACTTCGCCTGATCTCTGTGCTATCGTATATGGGCTCCTTGGGTGACCTGAGTACCTCATTTCTAATCGTAAGCCGTATTGCTCTTACTTTGATAGCCAGCTCCTAACGGGTCACGATATAAGTCGATCACTCTAAGCCAACATTCTTCCTCAGCCTGGGCGATTGAGAAGTACCATATACACACAACTTTTGGACCATCGCTTCAACATTTCTCTACTCGCTCTCACTGCTGTTTGGAATTATTAATCTCGGCCGAGGTGCCGGAGGCCGTACATACTAAATCTTGCTCTATCGCACGAATACCTAAGTACATTAGTCCACTTTTGTTCAATTCATCGCGTCTTAGTAACCGCATCTATTTTCGAGTTTAAAACATAGTACAGCCTTGGGCGAGAATTAGCGCCACATGCATCAGGAGCTTAGGTACGGGAATAAGTCTCCAAATGTAATACAGGTTTCATGTACATCACTGACAAGCTTAGTAAAGCGAACAATGATTTATCACGGATAAAAAAGCTAGTGATTGAGAAGTCCCGTACAATGGAAAAATGGTTTTATACGGGTGAAAAAACTGAAGCTTAACAGATCCTGCAGGATGATCATAGTAAAAATATTCGAGGTATAAGAAAAAAGTCACACTGGTGGACGCACTGCGGTATTCGTAAGTGTAAATCCACTGTAAGTCATGTTCGATAACACACTTGTGTATCCGTTTAGGCAAGCATACATATCCGTTTACACTGATTTCGTGAGGGGTGGGGAGCACAATGTTTGTCTGCGTCCTATTGTTACTATGTGAACAGGAATCAAATCAGATTATGCAGGTGTTGTACTGTACCGTAGAGTCGTTGTTTTTAACTGAGTAGCATGGGCGCAGAAATGTCAGAACGCGAAATGGCGTTCCAGGGATGACAAATTCGGAAAGAAAAATAGTTCTAGCGGCATTTCAGCCGACTGTAGTGCGTAGCCAGTTTCAGCTGGTGACCCCTCGATTGTGTGCTGCGGCTTAGCTTCAGAAGGTGGCGCCAAGTGTGATCGGGATTTTTCAAGATCTGGTACACCAGAATGAGGTCGCCACGTAGACAGCGATAACTTCCGCTGTACGTTCTTAAAGTTTTCAGTCGCAGATGGTATGGCAGATGGATCGTTTCCTTCACATTTTTGATTGTCTTTCGCTGTGCGGTATCCAGTGCGACCCGATCGCGTTCCCAGACCTGAATCGCCTACTACACATGGGTCTTCCCATACCCAATGACTATTTGGGGGAAGATGGATGGGTCGAACCACCTGAAGGTCTTCCGCAAGAGACCGTGTTGGTTAGCGGTTTTGGACGCCTTCAAAATCTGTGTGGTATTGCATCACCACCCCTAGATCGCGCAACTGTGAGGCGGTTTTCAGCATGTGGTCTCCAAGCTTATATGTGTAAGTGGGCTTGTGGCGTGTATATACAGTCTTGCACTTGTCAGCAT